GACTGTCCGCGGACGGGTCATGGAGGGGGGGAGGAGGATGGCGAGGAGGAGGAGGGGGAGGAGGAGGAGGAGGAGTCTAATTCGCCTTTTACCGCACTGTTAAGTCGGTCTGTTTCTTTTTTCATACCTGAACGCTGTGTGCTAGTGCACTTAAGTCCGAGCAGCGTCAAAACATGAGGAGGAGGATGGCGAGGAAGAGGGGGAGCAGGAGGAGGAGGAGGAGGAGGAGGAGGAGGAGGAGGAACCGGGAGTGGAGTCCGTAGCCATTTTGGCTCAAGGCTAAACGGAGAACGCTAAAGTAACATACCTGACTCTGATTAGCTTTGGCCCTTCCGTCGCCCGTTCTCGAGCGTCCTGGGGTCTGTGAACTTCCTCTCCTGCTGCCTGCCCCTGCTGGCAGCTGCCCCTTTCCATCTACTTCACAACGCCGTTCTGGCCCACATACCTGCCAGCGCGCGCCCCGCCAGGCACCGCGCGCATGCCTGATGAGCCTGCGGCCTCCATCCGCTCGCGCTCTCCGCAGGAGGTCAGAGGCGACCGTCTGCGCGGTGGCCGTGCTCCTGGTGCTGATGGTGAAGGTTGAGCTGCTGACTCACTGGCGGGTTCTGGAGACCCCTGGGCTGCAGCTGCAGGAGCGAACTCTCGTCGAGTCCCTGCCGCTGTTGACACTACCAGTGGGACTGCAACGCCCCCGGCGACTGCATGCACCGCCAGCCAGCCGCTGGCACAAGGAGACCTCGACGACTTCTTCGCGGCCTACAAGTTGGAGGTGGCCGCCACAATTGACGCAAGGTTCAACTCCATCCGAGCTGCACTGGTCAAGGACGTCACGGATCACACCGAGGGCTTGGTGCATGCGGTCGCCGCGCGCCAGGAGAAGGTCAACACCCAGCTTCGAGGGGAGCTCAACGAGCTGCAGCAGAGGATTGCCACCTCGGAAAAGCAGCAGCTGGCCTTCACGGAGCAGTTGGAGCAGATGCGGGCGGCCTTCTACGTGGCGGAGTCTACGATCACGGTCAAGGACCTGGATGGCCACGCAGAGTGGGACAGGGCGCCTGACACGGGCATTCTTGTGGCCAACACGACAGCCAATGTGGATCGAGAGGTGCTCAGTGGTGTCCTGGCGCCGTGGCTCCGTGAGGCGAACATACCTGATGACGATTGGAAGCTGCTCGGCTCGACTCCATCAAGACGTTTCATTGTTCAGTTCAAAGGAGACATCAAGTCGGCAACCAGAAGGGCGCAGGCTGCAAGGAAAGCACTCAAATCTATCACGGGAGCATGGACACAGTTTTCGGTCAGCACGGTTGAGGGAGGTGAGTTCGTGGGAATGGACAAATCACCGGAACAAGTACGAAGAGATATCCAAACTAAATCCATGGCTGCAGTGGTGCGAGAGCAATACCCAAACCTTCGGACTCGTCATGACCGCCAACGTGGAGTTGTATTCCTGGATGGTTCCCCTTGTGTGCAGGTACAGGTGGGAAATGAGAGAGATGATTGCGCACGTCTTCTTTGGAACTATTCCCTCGTGCAAAAACATGGTGTTAACAAAGATGAGCTCATGGCTGCGTTCAACAACAAGTTCCACACGGAGGAGAGAGTCCAGTGGCAAATTTAGCAGGACTCTCAACACGTGGCATGAGAAGTTACGTGAGAGGCCATTGCAGGAGATCCAGATGATGACATGGAACACCCGTGCCCTCCTTCACCACAAGCCAGGCATCCGTCGCAAGAAGGCTGCCGAGCTCAAATCGTTCTGCAGAGGTGCTGGTGTGGTGGCTCTCCAAGAGGTGCATGGTACTCGCCCTGACATGCTCAGGCTTCTTCATGACCTCCAGATCAAGGCGGCTTGCTTCTCTTCTCTCCCTGCGCACGATGCTGGAGGTGTGGTCACGCTTCTGCCGCAGATGACGCAGGCGGAGGCAGACGAAGCGGTGCGTGAAGGACGGGTTGGTGTCTCTGAACTGGTCCCTGGCAGAGTGCTGCGAGTCGCGATCAAGGCTCGTGCTGATGACGAGCGGCCTGACACTATGTTGGTAATATACAACGTGCACAACTTCGGGCTGACGGCTCAGCAGGTATCCACCATTTCATCTCGTATATCGGCGGAGGCGGAGCAAGCGGCGATGCAGCCGCACAAGTTGACAGTGATTGCCATGGGCGACTTCAACTACACGGAGGTGGCACCGGTGCACTTGCATGTACCTGAGATCGACAAGGGGTTGGTCTTACTTCCGAGGCGCAGGGAACATGCCGATACGTGGGCTGCGGCAATGAGCGAGATGACTGAGTTGGACCTGGAGGCACCGACTCACCACATTCATGATGATCAACGGCTTTCTCAACTTGATAAAGTGATGATCAGCACGCCTGGGTGGTTACTTCTCCAATGGTCGATCAGCGCGACGGTCTTGCAGTACCCTGAGGACCTCTTCAAGCAGGGCGCGTCCGACCATGCGCCGTTGCGCATCACCTTCGGCACGCGGCCTCAGAAGGTGGTGGGGGGCCAGGCTGTGCCGCGCTTCGTATGTCAGGCTCCCGAGTACAAACAATATCTCAACCTCTTCCTCCAACATTTGGATCTGAGGGAAGCGGCGCGGCTGACCAGGAATAAGCCAGTGAGTGCTAGAACCCCCCCGCTGGAAGCCAAGATGGTCATTTTCCGATCTATCTCGAGGGCTGTGCATTTTAACCTAGTGAATTTGGCTCGGACCCTTCTCGCGAACACGACGGTTGCATCTGAGTTTTTGGAAATATCGGATGACAATATGGTTTCGCTTTCTTGGCCGATGAATTTTAGGAGGCAGTATGAGCACCCTCAGCGTGACCTTGTGGAGGACCGTGTGAGCCTTGCTGAAACTGCTCTAAAGGACCCCCCTGTATATGCAGAGCAGAAAAGAGTTCGAGCGTACGTTAGAGCGGAGAGGAGGCGTGCCAAGATGTGGGCTCCGAAGGGAAAGTCGTTACCGCTTCAGGCTGTGGTCGACTCTGTGCGTGGGGGGGTTCTTGTGTCCTCGGCGGATATGGCCTCCTCCCTTCGGCCCCACTGGGCCCCTGTTTTCGCCCCCCCGCTCGGCGTCGCAGAGGCATCTTGATCAGTATGTAGACGCGCATATGCACGTCTTTGACTGGTCCTTGGCTGCGCCGCCGTCGATGGGGTCGATTGCGTGCGCGGTCCATGGCGCGAAACCCACGGCCCCTGGGCCTGATGGCCTTCCGTGCGCGGCATGGCAGCAATCTTCGCTCCCGCAAGAAATCTGATGTGAACTAATGCTCGAGCTGCTTGCTGGTTTCCCCCTCCTGTTTCCTTCGACGACCTCCTTCTTATCTTTGCACCGAAGGGTCGCGAGGAGCGGGGTAGTACCTTTGTGATGAGAGCCCCGCAGAACACACGCCCACTTGCTCTCAAGAGTACAGATGTGAAAATTATCTTGTCAGCCTGCAACCAGCGAATTAGAAGGGGCCATTGCAGCACAAGCCCACCAGGGCCAGAGAGGCTTCCTGCCGGGCAGGAACTCTCCAGGTAATGTGGTGCTTTTGGACTCTGAAGCGCGCATTGCTGGGATGCACCCTGAAGCAGCGGGCAGAATGCCGTCCCTCCTCTTCCTCGACTTTGGCCACGCCTTTCCCTCCCTCCTCCACCAGTTCCTGTGGGCTGTGCTTGCAAAATCAGGTCTCCCAGAAGGTTTCTTGAGTCTGACGCAAGCGACGTGCGCGTTCGCCGCGGCCAAGATTTTCCTGCTCGGTTGCCTCCAGACGTTTTGCATCATCATCTCAGGCATCATGCAAGGTGCTCCTGACTCAGGGTCGCTGTGGGCTCTTATCATGGACCCCCTGATCAGAGACATGCACAAGAGGCTGAAGAAGCATCCTGGGTCGGCGGTGCGTGTGTGTGTGTGTGTGTGTGTGTGTGTGTGTGTGTGTGTGTGTGTGTGTGTGCGGATGACGTGGGGGCTTTAGTGGGTGATCTTCGGGTTCTCGCGCGTCTCTCGGGGGCTTTTATTTTTAACGCGGCGGACTTTTTTAGCAGGTTTAAAACTCAAGATTCCGAAGTGTAGGCTGGTCCCCGTCCACCGAGCCCTCAGTGAGGTGGTCAGGTCCCAGGTCGCGGCTGCCCTTGAAGGGATCGCCCCGCGTTGGCGCGGCATCCCCATTGTGGGATGCGCGGGGTACCTTGGCGCGTGGCTCGGTCCCGAGGCGAAGGAGGAGGTGTGGGCCAGGGCGTTTCGGGAGTGGGTGGGAGTCAGCCCTAGCCTCGCAGAGACCGCATCTCCGCCGTCGATCATGATTGCCATGTACAACAGTCGAGCTGTCTCGGAGTTTGGATATCTGGCTCAGCTGTCAACGATTCCTGAATCTATTTTAAAGTGGGAATCTTGGGCGCTCCATAAGGTTCTGAGGATGCCCCCTTTCTCTGCCTCTCGACCAGCTGCTGGCCCTCAGACAGTGGAGTAAGCTCAGGCCCCTGTCGCTTCGTGTCCAGTGCGCTGCTGCCCTAGTCAGATCTGCCCGCGTAACTGTCACCAACTGGAAGCCCTGGTGGACGAAAATTCGGAATGCGGCAGAGCGTGCTCTTCCCATGATCTAGTGCCTGGGAGGGTCGTGGTGTCCGACCTTCTGGAAGAGTGTGCCGATTGCCCAAGTGCTCGCCGAGGCTGCCTCGGGTTTTCCAGGCTCGGCCCGCTTGCGGGCTCCGATGGCGACAGCGCTCAAAGCTTTGAAGGAAGCGCAGTCGGAGAACCCGCGGGCCCCTGTTCAAAAGACGCTGGCCCGCTCGTTGGCTAGCTCGATGTTTCAGGAAAATCTGGCCCCCGCGATTTTCAAGTGCCTGGTGAAGTGGGCGTCCCGTCCACTCTCCAAGCGAGCTTTGGCGGGATGCGACTGGCCCGCGATGTCAGACGTGTTGGCCGAGCTCCCACCAGCATGGCAGGCGTCGGAACTAAAAACTGTGGTGGGCGGGTGGGCGACGGAGAGGAGGATGACTCAAATTGATGTGC